GGATAGACACTTTTTTTTGGGGGGGGTCTTTTTCATTTTTATCGGTACCAGGGATTGAACTCATGGCTGCCTGCTTGCAAGGCAGGCGCTTATGCCGCTGAGCTAAATCCCTAGCCCCAACGATAGACATTTTGGTTGCTTCTCTTTTGGGGGTTTGTTACATAGCATACAAATATCTGCTATAGGGGCTGGAGATTTAGCTCAGCGGCATAAGCACCTGCCTTGCAAGCAGGCAGTCGTGAGTTTGATCTCTGGTACCTATAAAAACGAAAAAGGCAAAACAAAAAAAACCCCAACAAATATCTGCAATAAACATGGCTATACAAACATTCCTTTGCGGGCCAGGGATTTAGCTCAGCGACACAAATGCCCGCTTGGCAAGTACAAGGTTGTGAGTTTGATTACCCCCCCAAAAAATATATATATATTTCTTTGAGATTCTATTTCCAGTTCTTTTGACTATCTAATCAGAAATAAGGGATGGGGATTTAGCTCAGTAGCATAAGCGCCTGACTTGCAAACATGCAGTTGTGAGTTCTATCCCCAGCACCAAAAAAAAAAAAAAAAAAAAAAAAAAACCAGAAATGAAATTGCTGAATTAATCATAAGGTAATTTCATTTTTAATTTTTTGAGATTTTTTTTTGTGTGTGTGCTGAGGATTGAACCTAGGTCACTTTGCCACTGAGCCACATTTCCAGCACTTTAGTGACTCAGATTGGCCTCAAATTTGTAGATACTCCTGTTTCAGCCTTCTGAGTAGCTGGGATTACAGGTACGCATCACCATGCCTAACTAAGAGAGAATTTTTTATTTTTTGAAGGAGAATGAAACCAGCGTCTTAATGTAAAGGGGAAAATAATTCTCAACCTGCCAGATGTCAGACGTGCCAAGTTAGTGATCTGACAACATTGAGGAATGAAGTCATGAACCAAAGAAAGAAATTAGGAGAGTTTTATTGGAAATAAAGAGAAAAGTGGCTCCTGGATTTCCAGGAGGGATCTCACTGAATGGGTGGCTCTTGAAGCTCTTTGTCAAGGCTAATTTACACAGCAAAATCATGAGGGTCAACCTACAAACAACTATAGCAGTGATGGTGAACCTTTTAAGACCTTTCAGTGTAACAAACTTAACTGACTATGGCACATAGGCCATAAATTCACCACCACTGACATATGCGGTTACAAGTTCAACCATTTATATTGATCCAATAGGGAAACAAGTGTAGGAGGGAAGAACAAAACATTCCTGGAAAGAGGAAGGGAGCATACCTCTGGGTGCTCCGGTCACCCATCTGTGTGTCTCATGCCTAGCTGGGCTCACTGGACCAGGTGATGCTAATCACAGCACAATCTTGAATTGCTGTTCATCTCTGGGGAAACTTCCTTCCCGGCCTGACTTTCTCAGATTTGCCGCTGGCCACAATCTTTGTATGTCTTATCTTCTGTGCTGATCTCCTTGAGGGCCCAATCTAGCTGCATATTAACTGTCTACATTATTAGCACTGATATAGGGGAATGAAACTCCCAACTTTCTGTGTCCAGTATGAGTTCGTGTTCTCTAAAATCAAAGAATGAATTTTAGGAACAACGGAGGTTAAAACAGAATATATTTATTGAGAGAAGAAAGCTTCTGTCTGAGAGACAGAAGAGGGCTCAAGTGGGTTGTTAAGGACTCTGTCTTTTCCAGGGACTTTCATAGAGTAAAATCATGGGGTGAAGTGGGTCCAAGATGGGGAAAACTGGGAACTCACAAGGCAGGTGGGCATAAGGTGGGACAGAACTATGGTTAACCAATAAGATTAATAGTTCAGGTAAAATTAATTAAATTGGGGACAAGTGGGGATGCAAGTTGCATAGAAAGCCGGCATTCTTAGAGAACATGACTCTTCCCTAGAGGGTTGGGAAGGTGACTCCTGACTTCCTCTGGGTGATAGGGAACTATTCAGAATACCAGTCCTTGGGGTATGGGTGCATTTGTTTGATCTTTTGTCTTGAGGGCTGGCCCACAGCAGCAGGCATCAGTTGCAAGGTGTCTGGTTTCTGCCCTGGCTTCTTCGAGGACCCAGCCCTGTCTTACTCCCTATAGTATATCTAGCTAACTCAGCTGCCTATAATAGCACTAAGATACATGCCCAGTCCATTCTTTATTTTGAGACAGGATCTTGCTAAGTCACTAAGTTGTGTCGGCTAGGTTCAAACTGGCAATCCACTGCCTCAGGGTGCTGAGAGGCTCCTGGTGTGCACCACCATGCCCCATTAAGAAATAGCTTTTCATTTAACCTATGCTTGAAAGGAGACAACAACCCCAGCTGCCCTGCTATAAAGCTCAGAAATTACCCAAAAGCTGTGGTGTTAGGAGAACAAGACCTGATCCTTCTCAGAGACTCATGGGAGACTGTGATCCCTTCCCTGAGATACACATCTGCCACTCAGTCCAGGTTAGGAAGTGACAAGTGCAGAGGCCTTGGTGAGGTATATGTTTGTGGTGTATGTGTGGGCTATGTGTGTGTGAGTGTCTGTGTGTGCACGCGCACATTTGCATAGCCTCCAGGAAGCCCTGGTTAGATTCCCAGCACTGCCCTGCAAAAAAGGGAAGAAGAAGAAGAAAAAAAAAGCCCTTTCCCCTCCAACCTACTTCCCCACACTCGGGTCGCAGCTTCCGACGCTGCCCCTCCTCCAGTTCCCAGGCGGAGCAGCTGCGCCCAGCTCTCCTCAGCGGCTCAGGGGCTACTGGCTCGGCGACTTTGTGCCCTCCTTGTTACTGACCAGGCCTGATTCCTGCGAATCATGGCAGGGATGAGTTTTGTAATAACAGAAAAGAGTTTATTCACAGGGTGAGGTAGCCGAGCGTGCAGACAGACAGAGAGCAAGTCTCAGATCCACCTCCTGGAATACAGGGTTTGGGGACCCTCAGGAGCTGAGGCATGAGGGAAGGGGCTTGGCAATTAGGAAGCAGTCAGGGGTCTGAGCGTGCTTGATCAATCCGACTTCATCAACTGTTCCCGCATGGCCACCCCTGGGACGATCACTTATACCTCCAAAACTGGTGATTTAAAGCCAGTAACTGCTGGGGATGCAGCTCCAGTGGTAGAGCAAGGAGCTGGCATTTGGCAGGTCCTGGGCTCCATTCCCAGCAATGCAAAATGCAAAATGGAAAAAAAATATTTAACAAGCAAGTAACTAAAAGCAGGTGAAGCAAATTAAGTCTAGAGGGTTTACTCAGATCTTCTCTCTGTTCACCAGGGCCAGAGGACCACCAAGTCTGCCCCGTGGCCCCGAGGCTAGACAGGGAAGTTTCTCAGATCCCCCACACTCCTCTTCGCCTCCTCTTCTCACCGCTCCTCCCTGCCCCCGCCTTCCTCCCTGCACCAGGCTGGGAAGGGTCAGCGGCGCCCCTTTCACAGAGCTGAAACCCGGAGGACCAGGGCTGTGGGCCGCCACAGAGGGCGGAGCCTGCAACCAGGCACGCCCACCTCTAAAACACCGCGCGCCCTGCCGGGTGAACAGCTCCTTCCAAAAGCCAGTTTCCCCCAGCTAACAGGTAGGAAGGGGCGCAGCCCTCCAGAATATCCCCGCGATGACCTCGGACAGCTTTGCTGAGGAGCTGTGCATGAATATCTTTGTTCATACAAAAACACTCAAGCCACGTTATGGAAAAGTCTAGAAAAGAGATAAAAGACAATTGACATACTTTAACCATTGTTTCCAGACCACATGAGTTTCTATGTTTCTCCATTTCCGTGTTGTGCAACGGCAAACAGAGTTTCCCTCTCGGTCTTATTTCCTAAAATGGGAGGCGTGTTGTTGGGAGAAGCAAAAAAAGGAGAGCTTGTCTGAGAAGTGTCAGAGACCCCGGAAGCCTTTGGGAAGTACTATAGAGACAGATGCTGAGCACTTGGCACACGCCCATCGTCAGTGTTACACTATCATTTTCACCAACACTCCCAGCTCCTGCCTATCCTCATCATATAGAGGGAATGTGGCTCAGAGAGGCTGAGGAACTGGCCCAAGGTCACGCAGCTAGGAGGTGTCAGGAATGTCTCCAAAGCCCATCTTTTTATCTTCATCCCTTATGGAAATTATAGGCAAAAGTGGGCTGAGCAGAAACCCACCAAGGCTTCCACAGTCGGCTGCAACACACGGGAAAGAGACGATAAATTGGCATTTTCTTTGGCTTGCAGGAGAAACCAGACAGAGCAGAGTAAAAATCCTAGCATCTTCACTTTGCACGTCTTACGAAAATTCTCTTTCCTATGGTTGTTTCATGTTCTCACTTCCCTGCCCTTATGCAGGGAGCACTAAGCAACAGTAGCTGTACAGGGCCCACTTGGGGCACATACGCAGCGACCCACCCACCAGAAAGGCCCCCTCCACCTCTCAGCCCAGCTCCTCAGCCTCCCAGGCCCTGGCTGCCTGCGTTGCTGTGTGTGCCTTCCTAGAGTTTCTTGCAAAAGCCCTTCTCCTTCTTTATTTCACAGAGTGCATTAGAGGCTTCAGTCATCTTTCATCTTTCCTGAATGTGCTCTGAGGGCTATAAAAACAGCACCTCAATGAACAAAACAAAACCAAGCCCCCGTATTGGCTTGACTCCTGGGAATGGAAAAGCCTTGGCCATCCTGCGGGCTCAGACGTGGTTAGTCTGCCTCTTTAGCTGAGGGAGAATTTCTAACTAGAACTAGCACTGGGCAGAGAGTATGAGTGTCCCAGAAAGGTAACGAGCTCTTGTCACTAGAGGAGTCCAAGCAGAAGACCATGGACAGCTTTCATTCAACGTCTTCCAGGTGTCAAGAGTTGATCTAGATACTCTGAGACAGTGGAGAGGTAGGGCTTGTAACCCCACTTCAGTACTGAGGGACCGAGGCGGAGAGATGGAAGCACCTTAACCCAGAGAGGCAGGTCCGCGGGGGGGGGGGGGCAGCTCCCACGGACTCTTGGGGGCGTGGTTTGGGCGTGGCCTGGGCGTGGCCTGGCGGGGCGGGTGGGTGGGGCTATAGGGCTCGGGTCGCTGGGGTCACGCAGAGCTAGACGATCAGCCGGGACCATGGAGCCCGTGTCGCTGCAGGACTTCGTGCGGGGCTTGGACCCCGCCTCCTTGCCGCGCGTGCTGCAAGTCTACTCCGGAGTCTACTTTGAGGGTGAGCGGGCCCCGGCTCCCGGGCGGACCTTGTGACTTTGTGAGCTGGAGCTACTCACTGCCCAGCTGTAGGAGTCGTCGGGGTGCAGCCGGCATCTCCAGACCTCAGCTTTTGCGTCCGTGGACTGGGACCTCCCCTCCGCTCCGCTCGCCTCTCCTCTCCTTTTTTTCCTTTCTTTTTTTCTCTCTCTCCTCTCCTCTTTCCCTCCCCTCTCCTCTTCCATGCTCTCCCTGCCCTGGCCCCTCCCTGGCCCTCTGCTAGCCCTGGCAGTAGTTGTTCGGGCCAATTCTTTGCTTCTCAGCTTCAGTGGCTGGCGCTGCCTCTGGGAAGCCTTCCCTGCTCTCTGCTCCTTGCGCCCCCAGCACATTCGCCGCCTGCCTACGGCCCACCTGTCACAGCAGAGATGGTCACACGGCCGGGCACTGTCCTTAGTTACTACCCTAAAGATCCAGAGCCAGGGATGGAGAGATAGTGGAGGTGGGGGGGGGAGCAGTGAGGAGGGTGGGGACCTGCGCGGTGGGTGGAGGAGCGCGGGCTCCTTTCTGCCAGCGAACTTGTGCCACAGCAGCTTCCAGCAAAGCGTTTTGAGGGCCTGGGGTGGGTCCTAAACCAAGGTTGGGACACTTGGAGGGCCACACAGGAGCCTCTCCGTCACCGCGTGTCTCCAGGTCCCCTTGGGAATTTCACAGACCTGGGCTCCTGCTTTACATACATCTGGGAGCTGCCTGCAGGCAGGTGCTTGGGACCTGTGTGCTCCCCTCCCAGCCCAGGACTGAGCCCCCTGTCCTCCAGGCATCCTTTGCCTGCGAGTGTCTCAATATCTGTTTCCTCATTTTGCCTGATCTGGGGTGGGGACAAGTGGCCAACGCTGGGGAGATGTGGTTAGAGAAGAACCTGTAGGTGTACAGCTGGTGTAAGTGTGGAGACAGGTGGCCACAGCAATAGGGGCAGGTGTGGATTCTGAGAAACTCATTTAACCTCTCTGAGGCTGTGTCAGTTTTAAGACAAAACTAAGCATCATTATTTAGGAAAGGAAAACTGCTCTTCCCCAAGGGCACACGTGGGTGTTACAGGCAGTGAGGCGTCTGCAACGCTGAGCACTGAGCTAGGTATGAATAGGTGTATATATAGCTCTGCAGCTGCCGCTCACAGCAGGAAGGTCCACACCCCGCATTGTAGGCAGAATGGTGCTTTATGAGCCCTGTGCATTTTCTTGGGGTGAAGAGTTGAGGTTTTCATCAGTTTCTCAGGGCTGATGTGAGGCTGCCCGGTGGAGGTAGGGGATATCAGGTGGCCTTAAGGCAGGTCACCTGCAGTATCCTTTTGCTGCTGGACAGAGCACCTATGCAGTCTTTTGGTGAGAGATCTCTATTGTATACCTTCTGTTTAAACCAAGATAGTGAGCTGCTGAGCCAGAGGTGGCGCCCAGAACCTTATCCACTGGGCAGCACCCTGTCAGGGCCTCCATTCTTTTTTTTTTTTTTTTTTTTTGGTACCGGGGGTCGAACTCATGACCTCACACTTGCCAAGCAAGTGTTTATGCCACTGAGCTAAATCCCCAGCCTGGGCCTCCATTCTTGTCTTTTTTTTTTTTTTTTTTTTTTTTTTTTTTGGTACAGGGGATTGAACTCATGACCGCCTGCTTGCAAGGCAGGTGCTTATGCCGCTGAGCTAAACCCCCAGCCCCCACCATTCTTGTCTTTAAAGTGCTTCCTTTAAAGTGGCTCATCTGTCGGAGAAAGCAAAAGGCTTTTGGAGAAGTCCCTGTCCCTCTATGAACATGATTTCATAGCCACATAGTGAAAGAGTTGAGGTTAACTGGGTTATTTGAGGATTCACAGATTTAACAGAGGCTGAGCCCCGTGCTGGCTGCAGGATGCCCTCCATTAGATGAGTCAACCCTATCTGTGAGGAAAAAGCCAGAAAAGGGCACCACAGGGGGTACATTCAGAGTAGAACTTGTCAGGAACAGGGCACAGGTCTCTTGGTGCAGGGCCCTTGCCAAATGGGGAAACTGAGTCCATGTCTCCACAGGCTCTGTCTACGAGATCTGTGGGAATGAGTGCTGCCTGTCCACAGGAGACCTCATGAAGGTCATACAGGTTCGCCTGCAGAAAGTGGTCTGTAAGAACCCAGACACGGGTCAGACGTTGGAGCTGCCCCCCAACTTCCAGGGTAAGGATGCCTCCCTGTCTCCCCATATGCCTGACAACCTCCAGGCAGCCTGCAGGAACACATGAGCTTGCCTGCTCACACATTCACTCACCCAACACCTGCTGACGCCCATGTGTGCCTGCGGGGCTTGGGGCGGTAGGGCTCAGGATGAGCCAGTGACAGGAAGGCAGATGGGTGCCAGCTTTCAGGAGGGCTCTGGAAGGAGCCAACCCACTTGGGGCTGTGTGGTGCTGACACTGCTTGGTATCTATTTGGAAGGGACTGAACAGCTGGTAAGGTTTGGAAATACAGAAGTGAGGTATTTTATTTGTATTTGACAGTTTCTGTTTTTCTTCTGAGATAACTTCAGATTTGCAGAAGACTCACTAGAATTTCCAGACACCCAGCCTCCAGATTTACCAACTGTTAGACCATAGGTTATGTTTGCCTTCTCTGCCCACTTTCTCTGTGCATAGGAACACGCCAGGTGTGACCGAAACACACAGTGAATGTCTACACTGTAAACAGTTTATTACAATAAAGAGCCATTGCTATGAATTCCCCTCCTTCCTTTGAACACACTTATCCCATCATTCTTGCCACTTTCTGAAGCAGTTCTGTGAGTGCTCTTTTGAAAGCATCTTTATGATATGTGATCTGATGCACAGTAAGCCTGCTTCCCCATCCAGGGGAAGGGGGGCTTGGGGAACACTGCAGCATGCCCGCGTCCGCCTTGTTCTGTGCCTGCTGGTTCCTCTCCAAAGTCAAAATGACCACAAGAGGTAAATGCTTTGAACCAAGTCAGCATATCTAGGATACCCAGGCAATGATGGGCAGGACAATATTCAAGAGAGAGGACTTCCAGAGCTGCTTCAGAAAGTGGCAAGATGATGGGATAAATGCATCTGAAGCAAGCGAAAATATTTTGTTTTTGTTTTTATTTTTTGCCTTTTTCATTTTTATCAGTACCAGGGATCGAACTCACGACTGCCTGCTTGCAAGGCAGGTGCTTATGCCACTGATCTAAATCCCTAGCCCCAAGCAAGAATATTTTGAGGGAGATTAATGCCAATGTGTTTTTAACTCATTTTAAAAAATTAAATATTAAATATTTGATCATACCATATACACACAGACATGGTTTTTTTGCTGAACCATTTGAGAGTAAGTTGCAGACAGAGTGCTTTTTATTTTTATTTTTATTTTTTTTGTCTTTTTCATTTTTATCGGTACCGGGGATCGAACTCACGACTGCCTGCTTGCAAGGCAGGTGCTTATGCCGCTGAGCTAAACCCCCAGCTCCTGAGAGTGCTTTTTATTTGAATGTTATCCCTAGGTGCTACAGTGCACATCTCTTAAAAACAAGGCCATCCATGCCCAAAACTGCACGAGGCTCAGTGATCAAATTCAGGAAATTTGCTGGCATAATGGCACATACCTGTAATCTTAGCACTTGGGAGGCTAGGCAGAAAGAACACAAGTATAGGCCCAGCCTGGGCTGCACAGTGAATTCAAGGCCAGCCTGGACTATATAGTGATACCCTTTCTCAACCAAAAAGCAACCCCCAAAATATCAAACAAACTCAGGAAATGTAGTTTGGACGGCATGCTCTTGTCCACCTCACAATCTGTATCCACATTTCACGAGCTGCCCCAACACTGAACTTCACAGCAGGGTTTTCCTTGACCCCAAGTCCAGGTGCGGATCACACCCCTGTTCAGCTCTCCTTAGTTTCCTTCAGGCTAGGATGTTTCTTCAGGCTTTCTTTGTCTTGACATTGACATTTTGAAGAGGCCAGATCAGTCCCTTGTTTTGTGGTGCTAGGGGTGGAACCAGTGCCTCCCACTTGCTAAGTGTGTGCCTTTGCCACGGAGGCGCACCCCATCCTCAGACCAGTGCCCCTGTGGCCCGTCCCTCATTGCAGGTCTGGTGAAGGGTCTTTGATTAGACTTGGGTTGTGGGTCAGGAAGGGAACCACTGCATCCAGAAGCCCTGTGTAGGCCTGCTTGGTGGCCAGGAACTGGGGCTGGGAGCAGGGGAGCACAATAGGCCAGTACTGGCAGACAGCGGCAGGGGGCCACAGGGACCTGATCACAGCGCCTGGGGGCCTGGCGTGGGGGAGAGGGGTGGAGGTGGCGGGGTCTGGATGTGTGGCCTGCAGTTGTGAGATGACTGGAGCAGGGCAGAGGTGGGAGGGCGTGAGAGTTGCCTGTGTGTCTGCTGGGGGCTATGTCTGTGTTCTGTTCTGTTGTCTCTGGTGTCACCACTCCTGCCTTCACTGTCCACTCTGCCTTCTGTCCCTCAGCCTGGAGCTGGGACATCCCTTGACAATTGTCCCCATGGACTCTGGCTGGGTCACCTACAGGGCCGGGGGCCTGGGGCCTAGCAAATGTCTACCCAACCCTGACTCTGCCCCTCTCTGCTGAATCCCACAGGCTACTTCAGACCTCTTTCTATCTCAAAGAGCTACGGGACCCTGCAAGAGCTGGTCTCTGCCACAGCTCAGAGCACCACAGGGCTGCCTCTTTGCTTCATGTCCACGCGGAGCATTGTCACAAAGGCCAGGGAGGTGCCCGAAGAGCAGCCCCTCGTGCTTGAGGGCATGGAAATGCACCATGGGACCCGCTATGCACGCTGCAGCTTGGGCTCTGAGGTCCAGCAGGTCATCGTGCACCTGCCCCTAACCCAGGAAGGGCCTTTCTGGACATGGGAGCCTGGTAGCCCCCAAACTCTGCTCCAGATCCTGCAAGACCCAGCCCTGAAGGACCTCAAGCTCACCTGCCCTGCCCTCCCGTGGCACTCTGTGGTCCTGAGGCCTGAGTATGAGGTCCAAGCCATCATGCACAGTGAGTCCGTGGCAGTGTATGTGTGTGTGTGTGTGTGTGTGTGGGAGGGCCACCATGGTGGCAGATACCCTGCCCCTTGGTAGTAGGGGCTCCAGATGGAATGTTACAGGAACTTCACACTGAGCTATATCCCCAGCTTTTTTGTGTATTTTATTTTGATACAGGATCTTGTTAAGTTGCTAAATTTCCTAGGCTACACTCAAAGTTGTGATCCTCTTGCCTCAGCCTTCCAGAAAGCTGGGATTCCAGGCGTCCCTGTCGCGCAGATAGGTGCATTGTTTTTCAGGGAAGGTGGGGACCTTCTTGATGTCCAGGTTCCCAGATCGGATCCCACCTCAGAGTTAGCTTTGCAGCGGCTGTTGATGGGAGAGCCCATGCAGGCCAGCTGTGTTGATTCTTTGCTCCACATCTGTGATTTGGCGCTTAGATCAGAAGTGTGAGCAGATTTGAGATGCACTTTTTCATTGCCGTGTGAGATGCAGGGTGGAGACTCAGTCTTCACTTGGCTTGGTGTGAAATCTACCGTCCATCCTGTTAACCTCAAGCCCAGCTTTGGTGGTGCACATCAGTGAACATGATGAAGGGCCAGCTGTGGCAGGAGCAGCTGTGAGCGAGAACCACCTTGGTCTGTTATTCCTTTGGGAACCATATCGGTGGTATCTGAGTGCTGATGTCATTACTGCATTTATTACCTGGGACACCACGACAAAGAGAAGCTTCCCTTGTCTGGTTACAGTGGATGCAGGATATTGCCTGTAGGAGTCGCCAGATATCTGTTCTTTTTATTTTAATTTAAATTAGTATATAATCATGATACATTATTATAATTATATCCAACTTGGGGGGGTTGGTACATATGCAAACTGAACCTTTTTTTTTTTTTGATACTAGGAATCGAACTCAGGACCTTGCACTTGTCAGGCAGGCACTTATTCCTGGCCCACAAATTGAAATCTTGATTTTTACTTCCCTCCCCCACCCTCTTCCAACCCTTCCTTCTTCCAAACACCCCTCCTATCTCCAGAGTTCACCTCCGTGTTACCTACCATCTCTCTTGTATTTTGCTCTTTAAATTATTTATATTTTGGGGTTCTCGTATTAGAGAAACTATGTGATGTTTACCCTTTGTATCTAATTTATTTCATTTAGCATTATGATCTCAAGAAAAATCTATTTTTCTACAAATGACTCAAATGTGTCCTTTTTTTGGTTGAACAGTACTCCATTACCCAGACACTCTTTCTACTTCTGCTCAGACTTAGCTTCTCACCCATCAGCCCCTGGCTGGGTTCTGACTGTTTCTCCACCCTTGTTCTGCGTGCTGCCTCCAGCTTGTCCTGAGGAAAGAGAAGCAAATTTTTCCTTGTTTACCACCATTTAAAATGATGAATAGGCACTGGATATGTGAGTCCATCACTATAATCCCAGCACTCAGGAGGCTGAGGCAGGAAGATCATGAGTTGAAGGCCAACCTGGGCTAAGTGATAAGAACCTGTCCAAAAAAAAAAAAAGTTGGTTTTCTAGCACCTGCCAGGTGACAATGTAGAATTTTTTTTTATCATTTGAACTCCCACACAAAATGTTTTCTGTCTGCTTGAACCCACTGATGTTAATCACCCCAGCTTTGGACAGTGGGGCCTTTTCAGGCCCGAGTCCTCCTGACAGGCCTGTGTGGGGTGAGCAGGCATCCCTACTTCTGGTGTAATGGGTCCTCAGTTCCTCCTGGACAGGTCCTCCCGGGAGCTGAGTGAGCTCTTTCCCGCAGCTCCCAGACCCTGTGGTGGGAAGGGGCAGCAGGAGATCAAGTGTCTGGGATGTCAGGGCTTCCGGGTGGGGGCTGCGATGAAGGCGCCCCTTCAACAACAGCACGAGCTCTCCCAGGAGCGACTCCCAGCTTCAGCCAACTGTCTGCTGCTCTGGCACTGGCAAGATTTCCAACCACTCGGCCTGAGGGAAGCGCCTCTCCTGTGAGCCTCAGTGCTGTCGTTTGCGAGAAGGGGAAAGTGTTCCTGACCTGTGTGGGGTCGGCACAAACCAGGCTGCTTTTCCTCATAGAGGTTTTGCTTGCTTGGCAGTGTAGGGTTTGAAGCCAGGGCTTTCTCACTGTGCCCCAGCTCTTCTAATTTATTTATTTTTAATTTTGAGAGAATCTCAAAAGTCAGGTTGCCCAGGCTGGGCTGGAACTTGTGATCCTCTTGACTCAGCCTCCCAGAGTGTGGAATTATGGGCATGCACCACATGCTCAGCTTCCTAATAGTCTTTTATGGTCAGCAGATTTTAATCAATGCCCAAAGAGGAAGTGGCCCGAGATAATAGAATCAGTGTTTTTCTTGATATAGTTTTATCTCTCTCTCTCTTTTCTTTTGAGACAGGATCTCGATGGTTTTGAGTTCACTTTGTAGCCTAGGCTGGTCTTGAACTTGCAATGATTCTCTTGCCTCAACCTCCTGAGAGCTGAGATTATAGATGTGCACCATCATGCCTGGCTTCTTCTTTTTTGTTGTTGTTTTTTTGTCTTTTTGAGACAGGGTTTCTCTGTGCAGTTCATGTTCACTTTGCACCCTGGTCTGGTCTCGAATTTACAGTGATCCTCCTATCTCAGCCTCCTGAGAGCTGGGATTATAGACATGCACCACCACACCTGGCTAGTTTTATCTTTCTATTTAAACCCAGAAAGGATTTAGAAAAGCAGTTAATAAGTTAAATTTAAAATTAAATTGGAAGGGTTTTTTTTTTTTGTCTTTTTCCTTTTTTATCGGTACCGGGGATCGAACTCACGACTGCCTGCTTGCAAGGCAGGCGCTTATGCCGCTGAGCTAAATCCCCAGCCCCTAAATTGGAAGTTTTAAAGTCGTGGAATTGATTGGATATTTGGTGGTGTTTAGGAATTACCAAATAATGATTTTTTTTTTGAGACGGGGTCTCGCTATGTAGTTCAGGCTGGCCTTGAGCTCATTTTGTAGCCCAGGCTGGTCTTGAACTCACAACGATCCTCCCACCTCAGCCTCCAGAGTGCTGGGATTATAGGCATGAGCCACTACGCCTGGCTCAAATAATGATTTTTTAAAAATTTTTAATTATCCTCTCTTAGACAATGAAATAGTTTCCCATGCCATGGTGTTTCAGTACTAGTAGAGGGTGAGCTAGGCCTGAGATGCAAGCAGATGGACCATGAGTTGAACTGAAGCTGGGAGATGGATGCATGGATGCTGTCTTATGACTATTTAAAATTTTAAAAATAATTTTTAGGGGCTGGGGATTTAGCTCAGCGGCATAAGCGCCTGCCTTGCAAGCAGGCAGTTGTGAGTTTGATCCCCGGTACCGATAAAAAAAGAAAAAAAGAAAAAATAATAATTTTTAGCTGGGCATGGTGGCATAGCCTGTAATCCCAGCATTCAGGAGGCTAAGGTAGGAGGATTGCTGCAATTTTGAGAACAGCCTGGGCTAAATAGTGAGTTCAAGGCCAGCCTGAACTATATAGTGAAACCCTGTATCTAAAAAATGGAAGAGGGGCTGGGGGTTTAGCTCAGTGGCATAAGCGCCTGCCTTGAAAGCAGGCAGTCGTGAGTTCGATCCCCGGTACCGATGAAAAGGAAAAAGACAAAAAAATAAAAAATAAAAAATGGAAGAGTGAGTGAAGTGTCTAGTACAATAGGAAAATGTTGCAAAGAAACAAAAATGAAAACAAGAATGAGCTGGGCATTGTGACACACATAGCCTCTGGGAGGCTGAGCAGGAGGATTGTAAATTCATGCTTAGTCAGCCTGAGCAACTCAGAAGACTGAGAGAGACCATCTCAAAATGAAAACCTAACAGTGCTGGGAATATAGCTCCGTGTGAAGGTCCTGACTGGGTTCAATCCCCAGTGCTACAAAGCAGACTAACCCCAAATCCAGGCAGCCAAATGAATCCAGGAAAGAGGCCAGCCAGCCCTGACCACTGCTCTGTGCCTGGGGTGGGGGGGTCCACCCCTGGGACAGTGTGTGATACCCCCCTGAGCTGATCCCTCCCCCAACAGTGCGCAAGACCGTGGTCAGGATTCCCTCCACCCTGGAGGTCGAGGTCCAGGACGTCACTGCCTCCTCCCAGCATGTCCACTTCATCAAACCACTGCTGCTGAGCGAGGTCCTGGCCCAGGGAGGCCCCTTTCCCCTGCTCACGGAGATCCTGGAAGCCCCGGAGGGGCCCCCCATCTTCCTCAGCCCATGGGTGGGCTCCCTGCGGAAGGGCCAGAGGCTCTGCATCTACGGCTTGGCCTCTCCTCCCTGGCGGGTCCTGGCCTCCAGCAAGGGCCGGAAGGTGCCCCGGCACTTCATGGTCTCGGGAGCCTACCAGGGGAAGCTGCGGCGGCGGCCCCGGGAGTTCCCCACGGCTTATGACCTCCTGGGTGCGCTGCAGCCTGGGCAGCACCTCCGGGTTGTGGTGACGAAGGACTGTGACGAGGGGGACGAGGACCCTGCGTTCCCCTCCTTGGCTATAGGCGACCGGCTGGAGGTGTTGGGGCCCGGCCAGATCCTTGGAACCCAAGGACAGGACATAGATGTCTTGATGTGCGTGCGGCTGAGCGAGGAGGCCGAGGAGGAGGAGGAAGAACCCGGGGAAGTGGAAGAGCACCAGGAGCAGGTTCTGCTGCCCCTCTACCTCCCCTGCGGCCTGGTGGAGGAGATGAACGACGGCCGGCGCTACAGCCTCGCAGATCTGACTCACCAGCTGTCCCTGCCCTGTGAGGTCAAGGTAGTGAGCAAGGACCCTGGCCATCCTGCTGACCCTCTGTCTTCCTTCCCTGGCCTGCGATTGGAAGAGAAGATCACAGAGCCCTTCTTAGTGGTGGGCCTCGCCTCCCAGCCAGGAACAGTCTTTGAGATTCCGCCCCGGTGGCTGGACCTGACTGTGGTGGAGGCCGAAGACCAGCCAGGTCAGCTGGCCACGTCTCTCCCTCTGGCCACAGTGGAAGAGCTGTCCGAAACCTTCTACTACAGCCTCCGGAAGTTACCTGCCAGTGGGAGCCAGGCCCCCCCACCGAGGCCCCCCAAAAGCCAAGGCCTAGGGGAGCAGAGGAGACAGAGCTTCAAGGAGCAAAATGCCAAGGTACTGGCCTAACTGAAGGGGGCAGGGCGGGGCCACCCATCAGGCTTCTCGTGGGTCCTTCTTTGTCTGTTTCTCTTATAATTGTGTAGAACTGGCAGTCTGGTATGTTCTACTTTGCACCTTTTATTTTCATTCCATCCTCAAATTGGTGCGATTATCCTATTGTACAATCGAAAAGGTGAGAACTAAGGTCCTGAGAATCACCCAAGATCCTAAGTTCATAAATGAGAAGCCTGAACTTGAGCATAAACATCCCAGACTCCTCCATTCCAGATTCCAAGCGCACAGACCTTTTCCTCTCTCTGCCACCGTTTTCACTGGAGTTCTTCGTGTGTGTGTGTGTGTGTGTGTGTGTGTGTGTGTGTGTGTATCAGTACTGGGGCTTAACCCAGGGCCTACACACTGAATACAACCCCAGACTCTGCACCCTTTTATTTTTTTATTTTGAGGTAGGATCTTACTAAGTTGTCCAGGCTGCACTTGAACTTAGGATCTTCCTGCCTCAGCCTCTCAGAGTGCTGGGATCACAGGCATGTGCCAACACACTGAGCTCAGCCTCAGCACCTTTCACCTATACCATTTTTTTTTTTAGATTTTTTAAAAAAATATTTTTTTATCGGTACCAGGGATCGAACTCATGACTGCCTGCTTGTATGGCAGGTGCTTATGCCACTGAGCTAAATCCCCAGCCCACCTATACCTTTTGAGTCAGCAATTCCCCACAGCTGTCAGCATGGCCACTCAAGTCCTTCCCTGGTCACCGCTAGGCCTTGGCTCATGCCAAGTGGTTTCATGTGGCATCAGAGTCCTGGGCTTCAGGCTGGCCTTTTGGGTCACCTCCTGTACTCCTCTCTGCAGTCCCAACTCCAGCCACACAGGGGCTCCTGGAGGTCCCTGGGGTCCCCAAGACTCCTACGTGTGGCCCCTTGTGTGAACAAGGGCTCCGCCAGCACTGCAGAGTGTCCTGCCCCGCCCTCCCACTGCTCTTGTCCCTAGCCAGAGTTGCCTCATTTTCCCTTAGTTGTCCTCTACCTCCTCCTGACTAGGAAGAGCTGGGTGGGGCAGAGACTCCACCTCCTCCAAGGCCAGTGAGCTCCACTGAATTGAGCCAGGAAGAATCAGAGATGTGGGGAAAGAAGAGCCAGGCAGGGAGTCAGAATGACCGAGTTTACATTCCAGTCACAGGCTGTCGCCTGAGCATCCCGAGGCCGCCTCACTGATGTGCTGTTGTCTGCTGCTTCCTATCAGGTGCGTCCTCCGAAGCAGGACCCTGGTGTGCACAGCTCTTCTCACCACGCCCCCAAGGTAGGCATCGGGCATCGATACACTCTTTCTTTAGCTGAAAAAACAGGCAGGGAGAGGCACCTTTCCTCACACAGCCAGGAAGTGGCAGGGCTGGCCCTTCAAATCTGATCACAGAGTCTGTTCTGCTGAGACTCGGGGTACGGTGTGGCAGAGTTTCCCAAACTGTCACAGCATGCGGTTTGCTGACCTTGGGAGATTCATATTTAGTACCATGTAGGTAGCAATATGGGAGCAAAGTTAAAGAGATGATTCCTGAGCAGTTTCTTACATCTGTGCAGTGTAAAGAGACAGTCACTTCCTGATAGGCTGGGGCCCTGCAACAGCCCTGCGATGGTGCCGGAAAGAACGCAACACAACGAACCAAGGGTGCAGTCACAGCCCTGGCTCAGACTGGAGTGGCCTGGTCACCTCTGTGGGCCTGAACAGCACCTCTTCCTCCTGGGCACCCAGTTCTCTATGCTGATCCGTAGAGTGGCCCCTTCTGCCCCCTAAAGCATGGTATGCTGGAGACAGCTGGCCTCAGAGATCACAGATGTGGCTCTGGGCCCAGATCTTGGCCAAGCCATGGATTTCCCCAGATGGGGATGGGCATATGTGACAAGGCACACTCTCTTTGTCAGTTGGAAATTGGAACTAAAAGCATTACTCAGAAAGCCTCTTGAGGGTTGAGCTGACATGCATGGGAGTTCCAGAAAAATCTTCTTCTTGGGAGTCCTGGCTCTCTATTTGAGGGCTTTGTCACTTTTTTTTCCCTCTCCTCTCCTCCCCTCCCCTCCCCTCCCCTCTCCTCTCCTCTCCTTTTTTCTCTTTCTTTAATTTAATTTAATTTTTTTTTGTCTTTTTCGTTTTTATCCGTACTAGGGATCGAACTCACGACTGCCTGCTTGCAAGGCAGGCGCTTATGCCGCTGAGCTAAATCCCCAGCCCCTCTTTCTTTAATTTTAATTTTTGTGGGTTTGTTTTTGTTTTTTGAGACAGAGGCTTGCTCTGTAATTCAGGCTGGCCTTGAACTCACTATGTAGCCCTGCTGGCCTCAAACTTCATGGTGACTGCTCTCTTTATTTTGATTTTTTGTTTTTTGAAACAGGGTCTCCCTATGTAGTTCGGCCTAGGCTTGTACACACTATGTACCCAAGGCTGGTCTCAAACTCACATCGATCCTCCAGCTCAGCCTTCCTAGTGCTGAGATTACAGGCGAGTGCCACCACTCCCTGCTGTGGTAGCTTTCTTGAAGTATTTCCACTTTTCCTCTTTCCCCGCTCAGCAACAGATCTAAAGGAAATTCACAGGGTCCTATACGGAGGATTCCAGGGATGCCCTCTCTCTAGCCTCCAACTCTGTCTTTGTTCCCCACTCTGACCTTTTTCTGTCCTGCCAACGTAGCAAAACCACCTGGGGTCCCAAGAAGCTCTACACTGAAAAGAAGGTAGAAGGGAAGCCAAGGAAGTGACAGTGAAGGTGATTTATGCTTCATGGACTCTGCTGCCATTTCTTCTGACCTTGTTGATTTCTATTTTTTCTCCCTAAGTCCCCGCTGCCGCCCAGACCAAAGAGTAAGACTTTGCCACAGGCCTCCAGGAATTTATACAGCAAGGTATCTCTTCACATGGGCTTCAAGTCCACAAAGGCCCAAAAAGAGGATCCAGGTAAGTCCCCTCACCCTGTCCGCCCTGTTCCTGCTTCTTCCCTCCCCGTGCCCTCGCTGCTGGTCCCTTTGCCTCTGAGACCCTGCCCAAGACTCTTCTGTGGCCTCAGGTTGAGGGACAAAGCTGAACAGGCTGGGTTAGATGGAAAGGAGTCTCGCCTGTCTCTCATGGGCTCCAGGTTCCTGGAGAAATGAGTTCAGTCCCCACCACTCCTCGCTCTCCACAGTGTCCAAACCATGAAAGGACTGCAGAGTTCCGAGAGAACAAACTGTGGTTCTGGGCCAGCAAGGACTTTAGGGGATGCAGGCCAATTCCTTCCCTGTTACAAGAGAGGAAAGTAAAGGGGAAGGAACTTGCCTAATGCCAAAGAGCCTCACTGACTGGACTTTCGTTTTCTCTTTTTGTAGCACTGGAGATTGAACCGAAGGGGTCACCCATAGCAGGCAGGCACTCTGCCTCTGCCCCACATCCCTGGCCTGGCCTGGACCCTTACATAGATATGGATGAACATGACTATGAAGAAGTAGTGGAGCATTTTCGGAAAACCATCTAGGCCCTGGAGGAGCCGAGTTCCCCAACCACTGCTTCTCCAGGATTCAGGATACCAGACAACCCATAGGAGCCGCTGAAAGACCGGGGTGAATCTCACAGCGATCAGACTCAAATGTGGAAAGGAACTGAAATAGGGTGGACACTGCACTGGCTTCCTGTGGGTTCTAGGTTCCTGATACGGGTGTGGGGGCTGGTACGTTGGGGCCCAGCATCTTGCACATGACTCCCTCGGCCTCAGAGCTCCAGTGTCCAGAGCAGCCTGCTGGGTTCTACTCAATCTCAAATTGCTACTGCTGTCCCAGTGGTGGACACAGAGATTGCAAAGGCCATGAACCCCAGTGCCAGCTGCCTTTTGTATAGGAGATTTGCACCTGATCACATGGTGCTGAGAGCCCACTCTGGCCCCTCGCCTGCTCCTGCCTTCCTGGCTCTAAGCGCCTAGGAGACCTGGGCTGTCTCCTTATCCTCGTCTTAGTCACTCAGAACATGACCAGCACTCTGTAAATGGGACTCACACACATGAATGGGGAATTTGGCTTCAGGAGCAAACTTTTAGGGCCTTGTACAGGAAAAGCTGGTGCTGGAACTCAGGGAGCCAATTCACAAGGGGCCTCATGAAGACCCAGAGCCGAAGGGACTGGCAGGTTTCTTCAGGTGGTGCCAAGATCTTAATAAAACTGCGAGGGACTACCCGAGAGTGTGCTTTTCCAAAGCAGTGGAATAAAGATGTCTGAGCTTCTGTCTGATTATCATTTAAATTCTGCCTCATGCTACATTCTTTCTATACCATCTGCAAACGCTTAACTTTTAGAGGCAACTGTGGCCGGATTTTAAGAACTAGGAAGCAGGGCTGGTGATTCAGTGGCTCAGAGGCAGATTAGTGCAGTGGTTAAGGGTGAGGACTCTGGAAACACGAGCCTGGGTCAGGACCCCACTCGCCACCTACCTTATGTAACTAGTAACCTCTCTAAGCTTCCCTTTTCTGAGACATACATAGTGGCCAGGGGTGGTTGGCGCATGTCTGTAATTCCAGCTACTTGATCTTCCAGAAGGAAGATCACAAGTTCAAGGCCTGCCTGTCTCAAAATAAAGGATGAGGGATGCAGGAAGGAAGCGGGTAGAATGCCTCTTCCTGCAATTCCCAGTGTAGCAAACAGTTACCCACCTCACAAGATTGACTCGAGGTCAAATGAGAGCTTTGTAAAGCACGTAGCAGTGTCTGGTAAACACGTTGCTGTTGTTATTGGCCAGGATCATGCAGTTGTGTCTGTCTCCAGATCGTCCTGCCACACCTGTGCACCTGTCCTGTGCCCAGCCCGTGGAGATGGCACACTGACTGGCTGGAGAGCCCCACTGCCCAGTACAGCAGAGAAGGGGACAGATGCAAACCTTTCTCCTTGTGGCAATTAACTCAGCCTCCAAGGTCAGTCTTGACCTGTTCAGCAAGGCTGCTATTTCCTGAAAGTGCCAGGACCTTGGTTTGTGAGTTGATGCAGTCATGGAATTTAGCTCTAGGTCAGCAGCAAAGACGGGAGACAAAAGATGGTCTGGGGGCTGGAGATTTAGCTCAGCAGGCATAAGTGCCTGCCTTGCAAGCAGGCAGTCGTGAGTTTGATCCCCGGTACCGATAAAAAGGAAAAAAAAAAAAAAAAAAAAAGATGGTCTGAGTCTCCAGTTGAGGTGAGAGCTGATTTCCAGTTCCCAGATTCCAGGCACTGTGTCTGTGTGTGGCCCTCATCCCTGCCACTCTCTGGTTCCCAGACCGATTGTGCTTCACGGGGTTTCAGGCCTCCAGAACCCCACATGGAGCTATCTGGGAGACACCTAGCTGGTTTGCCACCCCGTCTGCCTACGAGTTCCCATGTCCTCCTCTAGGAAAATTGACATATACCACACAGGAGGACCCCGTGGAAGACAGCACCAAGGAGAGAAGCATGGAGGGACGGAGTGTCCCTCTTTGGCACAGAAGCCCTAGGAATGTCCCTATACGCATGCATTTTCACTTCCACACTTGCATTCAGTCTTGGCATAATGTTGAGCAAATCACAAAGGAAAAAAGGAGGGGGGGCTGGGGATTTAGCTCAGTGGCATAAGTGCCTGCCTTGCAAAGTGCAAGGTTGTTTGATCTTCGGTTCCCAAAAGAAAAAAAGAGGGCAGAGGGCCTGCAAAATGGGCTAAGTAACCCAATGCTGCAGTGCAAGGAGCAGCTTCTCAGAAGCAAACGCTGGGCTTGAAAACTAGTGATGACTTTCTTAACCCAGAGTGCCGGGGTTAGTGGGGAGCCAAGCAGAGGCAGATACTATTCTAAGGGTGCTTTTTTCTTTACCCCTGGAATAAGTGCTTGGGTGATAAGCAGGGTGTCATACTGGGGCTGAGGAGTCCCCCTGGGTTCCCGAGTGAGGAGCACATCTCCTCACTATACAGGATGATCCACTGGGAACACAAAATAAGGATTAATACTTCCCTCCATGTTCACTTTTTAATATATTTTCACTTCTCTTTACTGTTGCCTAATGTGACATATTTATAAAACAACATATATGAATAGCTGCTGAACAAGCCTGGCGAGATGGCACATGCCAACACTCGGGAGGCTGAAGCAGGAGGATCACTGGGAGTTGGAGGCCATCCTAAACTACATGAGACGGTTCCAAAATAAAGTTTCTGAACAAATGAATATAAATGACTTATATCTAAATGTCCTCAAAGCTTCATTCCCTCACAGGTGACGGATCACAGGCGTGTGATACTGGACCAGTTTGGGTTTAGAGCCGGGTGTGATGTTGGGAGGTGAAGCCTGGGGGAAGTGGGTCACTGTGGGTGTGGCTGGAAAGGGCACTAACATCCCTCCTGCTCTGCTTTCCACCTGCCTGTTTCGCTGCCCATGCCACCCCGCCTTGGAACCAGCCAACTCTGGACGGAAACTTCTACAAGCTGAGTCCAAATAAAGCTTTCCTCCTTTAACTTGTGGGTGTTGGGTATTTTACCACAGCAACAAGAGTAACTAAGACGGGACGCTAACTCAAAACTTGATTTATAAATTTCATTTCCTTTTCCCCAAGTGCATTATCTTTTTTTTCACATTCGTGAAATCAAGTGGTTGTGTTGTTTTTTTTTTTGGTACTAGAGACTGAGCCCAGAGCCTCTGCCCTAGCTACAACCTCAGCCTTTTTCTCGTAGGTATTATGAGACAGGATCTTAACTTGCTAAATGGCTCAGACTGGACTTGAACTCTCCATCATCGCTCTGCCTCAACATCCCCCAGTGCTGAGATACAAGTGTGTGCTGCTACACCTGCTCCAACTGAACGTAAAGAAACCTTCCAATTCACATTAAACACTAATTCCTCCTGGCCTTTCTCTTCTTAAACCCAACGAAGTACTATTTCTCAAGGAACTTCAATTCCACAACAGAGGTTTCTCCCAGAGGCTGGGCCCATCACTGTGCTGGGCTGGGAAGTTTCTAAGAACTTGGTCATCCTGCTGTTTCCTGTGGTTCAACAGAACACCGTATCCCGGATGCAATCAGATGACCACAGATGTCCCAGATGTAAGCTCTTTCTGCCTGCACACAGTGGCTCTATGAAGGCACAAATTGTATTGCTCAGGCACCAGCTGGCTGTACTGCCTACGCTCAGCCCCACAGATCGCCCCTGTTCAGAAGTCACTTAGCTCCTGACTGAAATGCCGAGGTGGGAGGGAAGTCAGTCTCAGCACATGGCTGCTCTGTGCACTAGCAATTCTTGTGACATCAATGTCTTATTGTTCTTTCTGTCCTTAGAGCCTGACCCATACACTTACAGACAGTCCATACACTTACTGAGTTGACAGCCTTATTTCTGTAGTACTGGGGACTGAATCCTGAGCCTCACATGCTAGGCAACTGCTCTATCGCTGAGTTACAGCCCCAGCCCAGTTTTAGAGACAGGGTCTAAGTTGACAGGGAGGCCTTAAATTTTCAACTCTCATGCCTTAACTTCCCCAACTGCTGGGATTATAGTTGTGCACCACCACACTATGGTAGGTAATTTTTAAATCACCAAATCATCATATGAATTTTACAAAAACAGAAGACCTGCACCAGAACCATGGCTACAGCTCTGCCCTTTTCAAATCAGAGCTTGGTACCTAGAAAGAGAAGCTTGCCACCTGTAAAAGAACAGTAGCATCATTCGAAATTCAATTTTTTTTTAAAAAAAATGTTTTTAGCAACTGTTCTTTCTTCTTTGTCTAAGAATGGACACACTTACAAATAACATCTGGTTGACTGAGCTTAAAACCTTTGCCTAACTCCTCAGATGTAAATTACTTGGCATCACAGTTGTAGCAGCCCATGCCTATAATCCCAGTACTTGGAAGGAAGAGGCAGGAGGGCTGCCACAAGTTCAAGCTCAGCCTGGGTTACATTACTGAGTTCAAGGCCAGCCTGTGTTATATAACAAGACCCTGTCTCAAAAAAAAATAAAAGCCACCCCAAAATTACTTTGCATGTAAAGAAAAGCAGCTGGATGTTCAGTTAGAAATTGAGGGTAAGGGTGGGGCGGAGCCTTCCCCAAATAGTTGCTAGATCTTAGAAGCAGTTGACGCAGATAGTTTTTTTTTTTTTTTTTGATACGGGGGATTGAACTCACAAACCTTGCAGTTGCCAGGCAGGCACTTAAGCCACTGAGCTAAACCCTCAGCCTGCAGATACGGTTCTTATTTGCATGTTATACCTCATTAGCTTTATCTCAAAAAAAATTTTTTTTTAAAAATTGGTTCTTTCATTTAAGATGTAGCTTATGTTCTAGAGTTGTCAAAACACCCTGAGAGTCAGGTATGGTGGTGCATGCCTATAATCCTAGCACTTGGGAGGTGAAAACAGAAGGCCTATGAATTCAATGCCAGCCTGCACTACACTACAAGGCCTTGTCTAAAGAAACAGCAACAACAACAAAAAATCCAGCTGGGCGTGATGGTGCACACCTGTAATCCAGCACTCAGGAGGCCGACGCAGGAGGACTTCTGAGTTTGAGATCAGCGTGGGCTACAATGCCAGCTCAAGGCCTGGCTGCAGCACACAGCAAGACCCTGCCTCAAAAACAAACAAACTATTAAAACCATCTTTGAATTAGTTTCTTCTCCCACAAGAGAAAGCTGATCAAGTTGGCCAGCAAACAGGCAAAGCTTTGGAAAGTCATACATGAGATCACAGTGCAGCCAGTCAAATGAGCACATGGCTGAAAGAGCCAACCCAAAAGCCTGAGGTCCAGTTGCCACAGGAAAATGCCATGCATTTTACAGATCTTACTATACTCAATTTTCACAATAAACCTTTGAGAAAACAGGCTTTACATGAGGAGACGGGAGCCTCAGAGCTGAGGCAGCCTGTTCCAAGATTCTAACTTGGATTTAAATCCAAGTTTTATACTACGCCATACTACCTTAGAGGATAAAGTAGCAATCAGATGATCGGTTGAGAAAGAAAACGGGGGGAAAATAGAAAGGAAAAGGACAGCATTGCACTAATCAGCTGTTTTATTAAAATATGGATGTATTTATTTTGTACAAAACACAGTAACATTTCTTCCTCTCCCGTCCTGTGAGGCCAGCATCCCGTAACCACATATTCACATAAACCTACTTTCAGCAATAGGCAAGACGTGGAGAAAGAGAAGTGCAACTCTGAAAGTAACACATCAGAGGAGACAAAACCAGGCAGTGGGAGGTGGGTTCCTTGCTTGCACTATGCCCACAAGCCCCAGTTCTGCTCATCTTCTCTCAACAAATTTTTTTTTTAAAGAACAAAAATTTCTGAGCAATACTGTCCAAGTCCCTTGGTAGTGGCTTTCTTCTAGTCTCATCTGTCCTGATGTCCTAATGAGGTCATCTGGAACTTCTCTAAGAAATTCCACCCTGCTTTACCTCTGTCAATTCGATCATTTTCCTTTCAGCTTCAAAACACAACAAACAGAAGAGCAGGGAGTTACAAAGGGATGTCAACTGAGATCTTTTACAGAGGCAACTTCCTTCTTAGAAGTCACCTCGCCAAACATATGCAGAGCAGAAGCAACAGACTGTGCAAACAGGTCCAACCAGAAACATCTCAGGTACTCATGAGATCCGTTACTCCGCATCTGTAGATTTAAAGTGATCATCATCCACAGTAGAATAGATATGGCCCTCGTTGCTAAGAAAATCGACAACTTGCCTAGAAAGGTAGACAGAAAGAAAAAACAGGGTCATTTTTTGTTTCGTTTTTACCATGTAGTCCAGGCTGGTCTCAAACCTGCAGCAATTCTCCTGGCTCAGTCTCCTGATCCTCCAGGCTCAGTATGTGCACCACAGCCAACTAAAAGGGTCCTTTTCAAACAGTACAGAAGGAAAGAAACTGCCTTTTGGATAACAGAGGAAACCCTACTATGTGATGGCAGTTCTGTAGCTTAACATCACAGTAACTCTGAGATGGAAATTATTATCCTCTTTTTATAAGACAGGAACTGGAAATAGACTTCAGCATTTCCTTCCATGTAGGCCTAAAAATCAACTGATTTACAGTAACAACTATCACAAGTATCATCACACTGTTTGTTTAATTAGTTTGTTCCACTGGAATAGAATTAGGCCGAGGGTGTAAGCCTGGCCTAATGGCTTTAGGTTCACAGAGCCTGATGCATTTCTATCTGTAGTGCAGGCAGCAACACCAATGGGATTCCCATGACAAGAGCCATAAGCTGGCTCACTCACCCCTCCAGACCAAAGCCCATGAAGTGTGAGGGCAATTTTTGTTGAGGGTCACATTTTCCACACGTAATGGGCGTAAGTATTTGTGGAATGAGCAAATGAATGAGGGATGTAATGCACAGTTTCATCTTTTTGAGTCCTTTTAAATGTTTCTGAACAACTTCTCTTTTGTCAACAGATATAGATCTACTTTTAAATTACTTCTGATTACGAGAAAGCCCCAAAGAGGTGGACTTGTAGATACAATCGTAAAGACACAGCTCATGGGAAGAAAAACTTACTTGATTGTGGCTAGAGGCATGTGCTGGAGCTGGTTTCTGAGATCCTGAAAGTTCAATCCTTCAGGTCTTGGACAAGCCTTAATCAAATTCAGCACCTGATAATTCAAATTAAAATGACTATAGTAATAACTCTGAATGAACTCCCCTTTGCAAATCTGAGTCTTTCTATCAGAAAAAAAAAAAAAAAAAAAAAAAAGGAACCAGATGCTACATTGATAAAGAAGTAACAGAAGTTAGGATGGTCTGTCTTTCACAACTAAGAAGCCACTTAGTTTACCTGGTTTTGGGTCACGTTGAGGCCATTGGTTGGCGTGAAGCTATTCCCACCAAAGTTTCCCATTTCACCCATTCCCGGATTGCTGAGAGAGGCTCTCCCTGCTGAGGGCTGAATTAAGAAATAAGTTTATAATATTAGAAATTCACCAAGTTAAACACAGTGTAGGCTGGCCTTTGCTATTTCAAGTAACATATTACTTACTGATAAGCAGCTAAGAAAAAAAAGCCCCTGCCCTTTACGTCCAACTAACTTGCCACTGCCTCATGAAGCCTCCCGACATTCCCCAAGCAAGTTAGTAATTTTCTGCCTTCTTAGTTTTAGCCTCCGGCCCATCTCCTATCACAGCTCCCACAGCACTGTTTCCATGTCACTGTGCTGTGATTCCTTTTGCAGGGTGCTGGGATCACAGGGTGTGCTGACCCGCCTTGGTGCTCTACACCTTCCTTGAAATGTTGTTTTCAGAATACTCTACGCCAGGTGGAGTGGCACATTTTTGTAGTTGCAGCTGCTCAGTAGACTGAGACAGAAAGATGACCTGAGTCTGGGAATTCAGGCTACTACATACTGAGACCCTATCTCAAAAACTAAAAAGGGGTGGGCATGGTGTGTGCTGGAGCCTGCTGGTAATTCCAGCAAGGCTGGACAGGAGGATTATGAGTTTGAGGACAGGCTGGGTTACCTAGCAAGACTTTGACTTAAAATAAGAAAGAAACTAACCAGACAAAAAAAAGTGTTTTACAAAACCCCACTTCCTGGTCTTCCTGCCTAGCCTGCAAATCCTCTGACATTCAGTGGTGCTTCTCTTGCTTCCAGACTTTTAAAGTTCTGTGTCCCTGGGCTCAAGTCTCTGCCCTCTGAACTCCCATCTTCAGCATGCCCCCTCCCTTGAGGTCCAGCCTGATGTCGTCACCTGTGCACCCGGATGTCTAAGTGGCACCTCATTCGTGGCAAGTTTTGAAACAGAGCTCTGGATTTTACCCTCCAAATCTGCTAGCTTCATCTAGCTGCTCAAACCTCAAACCCAGCAATCTTTTTCGAACCCTTCCTTTTCTCCGAGTTCTACAATTAATCCTTGAATTGCTCATTAGCTCTACCTACTGAACACATGGAGTCAATCCCCCTTTTCTCCAGCGGCAGCTACCATTCCTCTCAGTGACTTCTGCTGCCTTCTCTGGTGCCTCTGAGTGCACTGTCCACAGCAGCCAGGCGAGCTTGTTAAATAAACGGTAAATTGGACAATGTCACCCCCTGGAATATAAGCCCTCCATGCTGTGGGCCCAGATCTTTCTTCCATCCTCCTTGTCATTTGTTTCTTCCACTGGTCAGCTTCCTGTTGTCTCAGAGATGCCAAGCTTGGTCCAGCCTTGAGGGGCTTACACTTCTACCTCCTTGTTTTTCCTCTACCTGTAGGTGTATTTTGTTCCCACCATCACTCTCTTCTCCTACTCTATTTCAGGGCCCCTATATACCTGGAAGTGTGTATTTTTCTTTTCTTTTTTGGCAGCACTGGAGATTGAAACCAAGGTCTTCACACAGCTAGATTCCCAGCCTTTTAAAAATTTTTTTATTTTGATACAGGTCTCTAGTTAACTCACTAGTTCCAGGCTGGGCTCAAACTTGCCATCCTCCTGCCTCAGCTTCCAAAGAGCCGGGACTGCAGCCATGCACCACCCCCTCAGCCTACACATCTTTGTCTTGTTTGTTGCCTGTTTCTCTCAAGAGTTTACCTTGCTCACTGCTAGATTCCAAGGGTTTCAATAATGATCAATACACGCTAGACTCAATGAATATTTTTCAAATAGGAAACTGAATGAATGTGTCAATGTTCTCAGTGATTACCAGAGTATGTGCGTACAGCAAGAGAAACCACCAACAGAGTGAAGACACAACCCACAAAGCGGGGAAAAACATTTGCCAGCTGTTCCTCAGAAAAAGAGCTACTACTGAGAACAAAAAAATCAGTCTTCCCAGATTTAAAGACCCTATCCAAAAATGGGCATCTAAGAGGAATACACATTTCTCAGATGAAGAAATACAAACAGCAAATAAATATGTGAAAAAATGTTCAACATTGCTGGTCATTCGAGATGCAGATTAAAACACTGAGATTTCCCAGAAAGAACTATTATCAAGAAATCTACCAGTCACAAATGCTGGAGGGGCTGTGGGGCAAAAGACATCCTTTTCTGCTGTTGGTGGGAATATAATGCAACCACTGTGGAAATCAGTGTGGAGAGTCCTCAAAAAACTAGAAGGAGGATCTGGGGATTTAGCTCAGTGGCATAAGCACCTGCCTGGCATGTGCAAAGTCATGAGTCTGATCCCCAGTACCCTTAAAAAAAGAAGTTTAAAAAACAAAAACAAACAAAACCTAGAACAAGGAGAGGTCCCATTTGACCCAGCTGTTCCCCTTCTGGGTATCTTCCCAAAAGAATGAAAAACATCAAACTATAGCGATATATGTGCACTCATGTTTATAGCAGTACGATTTGTAATAGCCAGAACTTGGAAACAACGTAAAGGCTCATTGACTGAGGAATGAGTAAAAAAGATGTGGTCCTTTTAGGCAATGGAGTACTACTCGCCCATAAACTGGAGACTTTTAGAGGCAAATGGATGCAACTTGAGACTATATTCATAAGTGAAATAAATAAGACACACTGGGGCTGGGGATTTAGCTCAGCGGCATAAGCGCCTGCCTTGCAAGCAGGCAGTCGTGAGTTCGATCCCTGGTACTGATAAAAACAAAAAGACAAAAAAAAAAAAAAAAAGACACACATGTGTAATCATATTGTCTCACTGTGTGGGAAGCTGGAAGAAACAACGTATGTATATATGTATGCATATAAAAAATAGTTAAGACAATTATACTACTGATTTCTCCTAGTTCACTGAAGGGAAAGATTTGTGCTGGTATTGTTCAGACAACTGAATGCAGATGTCTTAGTACTGTGGGTGAATGACTTGGAGATGACAATGTGTAGTGTATGTATCATTGTTGCCCCTTGATGTTTTAAAATTTTCTCTTTGAAATAAAATGGATTTGAAAAAAAAATAATTCAGACCTACTGAAAATGAAACAAAACAAAATAAAACACTGTGTGCACAGAGTGGAGTGAGTGTTGGCACTCTACTGGCTTGTCCATTCTCAAGCCTCTGCTACCATGACCACCCTTCACTGTGCCATCTGAGTCATCTGAGGACTTTCTAATACTAGAATTGACCAATGCTTTGAGTGGTCCTGGAAGGGACTTGTCAAAATGAATTCACGCAACAGAAAATTGGACAAATTTCAATATGGCCCAAGAAATATAATTTCAAGGAAAAATAATAGTGCAGTTTTTCCAGGCAAGAGCCTGGAAGAAAAGCACCAAAATGCTGCCCTAACGTGAGATTTTTCTCCGATTATGAGCTGGTTAATTGTGGAGCCACAGGCTGAGCCTATGTGACTGTCTGAAGGTTGTCATAGGCCTCAGCCATCTACGGCAGTGTGGTCAGAGGAACTCTTCATTCTTTTTCACTTTTTCCTCCTTTTTGTGTTTTCAGACAGGGTCTCACAATGTAGTTCAAGCTGGCCTGAACTCACTATATAGCTCAAGATGGCCTCAAACTCATAGTGATTCTCCTGCCTCAGCCTCCCAAGTACTGGGATTACAGGCATATAGCCCCATGATAAAATATGAGTACCATGCAGAGGAACTCATAATTCTGACAGAAATGTAAATGCTTCATCTGGAATAAAATACAAAGTTTATGGAGTGATGCCTTTCTTCTAGCTCAACCTTAAAAATGTGAAGAACTCAAAGTCAGAACACAAAAGTAATCTCTGCTTTCCAGGAAAGGGAAAAAGCTGAGTGTGAGGCTGCTTACCTGGGTGCTGGGTTTGCTGAGCATCATGTGTGCATTGACTACTTCAAGAATATGCGTGGTGAACTCATTCATATCCTCCAGGGGCATGATCTTAAAGGCTACCAGGCTCTTTTTGTTCTATTAAAATAAAGATGAAAATGTAAATAAAGGATGAGCAGATTCAAGTCAAAACACTGTGACTCTTTTCTACATTATAATATTTTGTCAATATGAGGAAAATATCTGTTATGTATATCTCTAAAATTTTAACTCAGGGAACTCAAATATAGTCAACAATGAAGGAACAAACCAAACCAAGCAAAAAACAAGTAAAACAAAAAATGATAAAATCCAAGCAGAGCCTAGCTTCCGGACTCTGAATCCAGTGTTTTCCCTTCCATCTCCAATGGTCGCCACAGCATCAGCTGCAACTGGAGATTTTTTTTCTGTCATTCTTTTACTTTTTTTGTTTGTCTGTTTTTGTTTTTTGAGACAGGGTCTCACTCTGTTGTCCAGGCAGGCCTCGAATTCGCTATGCAGCCCAGGTTGGCCTCAAACTTGTGATCTCCTTGCTTCAGCCTCCAGAGTATCGGGTTAGAGGCATGGGCTACCACTCACTGTTACTTTCCTGTTCAAATAAAAGCCAGTTGCTTCCTGCTGAATTAGAGGATAAGGAAATCAGATCCCATTAAACATAGAGGGCTAATGATTAAGTATCTTGGATCCAGAGACTGGCTCTTGCAAACGCATTTTACCTGCCATTTTAGCCCGACTTTACCTGAAAGGACCGCAGGTGGCCCGCCACCTTCACGTATGTCTCTGGAGGAACCACAGTGTTTTCTCCACCAGTGTCCTAACACACAAAATATGAATACATCTTTAGGTCTTAGTGATGCTGGTGAAAGCCTCTCTAAAGTTTCTAAATTATATGTACAAAGTTAGTTATAAATTAAAAGAACTAAATCCCCAGCAGTGGAATTGTTGATCCATATTTTTATGACTGATCAGTTTGATAAAGGCTGATTTTTGAGAAGTTTTATTTTATGCTCTTATTTTCAAGGTAGCATGGTATCCACTTCCTTACAAAAACAATGACAAGTCATTCTTGAACGTTTACTTTTTTATTATTTTTTGGTACTGGGAATTGAACTCAAGACACCTCATGCTTGCCAGACATGTCCTGTGCCTGCTGAGCTATATCCCTGGCCCTTGACAAGTCATTCTACAAATGTTTATTGATTGCATTCTAAGTTACAGGCACTGTGCAAGCTGTCACTCCTACCAGGAATAAAAATTACCATCATTTTTTAGGGTCTGACTTTTTTTTTTTTGGTACAGGGGATTGAACTAACGATCTTGTGCTTGCCAGGCTTGTGCCACTAAGCTAAATCCCGAGCTTACCATCATTTTTTCTTTGCCAACAAAATAAATTAAAAATGGAATCTCCTTCCTTATTAACTATACTTTTTATTTTTACTGTCATTTATGCTTAGGTGTTTTATGAATGAGTCACTGATTTTTGTAAGATGAAGCTTTTTTTTTCTTTGTAGAGATTTTTTATTTTTTTTGAGATTTTAAAAAAATTAATAGTTAAGCTGGGAATTTAGCTCAGCAGCATAAGTGCCTGTCCTGCAGGAGCCAGGTCATGAGTTCAATCCCTGGTACAAAAAAAAAAAGTAAAAATGTTTGTAATATATGCAAATCTTCACATTCATTTAAACAACATTTATTTAATGTCCACTACATGACTGGTACAGTCCTAGGTGCTAGTGAGAGAGTGGTGTCTAAGATGTAATAATCCTCCTCAAGTTTGGTCAAACTCACCTGTAATCACAGCTACTCAAGAGGCTGAGGCAGACAATTTCAAGTTCTTTGTGGCCAGCCTGACTCAAAATGAAAAGATGAACAAGAGCTGGATTTAGCCTAATGGTAGAGCAACTCTGGGCTCAATCCCCAGCAATACACACATATTCACACACATGTGCATGTGTGCAATGGAACTTACATTCTGCTGTCTCGTCTTTTAATTATTTGTAATATTTTAGGAAGTTTAGAGCTTCTGCCTTTCATTTTTTTTTTCTTTTTTTTGAGATAGGGTTTCGCCATGCAGTGCAGGCTGGCCTTCAATTCAGTGTGTAGCCCAACCTGGATATAAGTGATCCTGGATCTCAGTGATCCTCTTACCTCAGCCTGCCAAGTGCTGGGATTACAGGTGCGCACCACCACACCCAGCTTGCCTTTGATATCTTATGTATATATATTATTTTAATGTAACAAAAACCTCCAAGTGGTAATATTTAAATTCTGCCATCTTCAAACTCCCAGAGTAACCCCACCCCAATTCAAAAATAGAGACACTTACATCTGTGTCAACCCACTGGCGGACATCCATGGGTGCAGCTGTCATATCGTCTATTTTATAAACAATGTTGGTTGGCGCCTTCTCTGCATGTCTGATTATTCCCACAATAATGACCTAGGTTGGGGGAATAATAAAGCTTGGTTCTGTAAACTAAAGCAATATTTATACACTTTAAGCACATCACATCTCCTTATGATTAAGTGACTCTCCTATAAGTTCTTTTTCGTACCTGTGAAATCTCAACATTCCCAATTTTGAACACTTCATCTACCAGAGTAGCGGAAAGCAGCTGAGATATGGTGCAGGGTACAATGTTCTGGGACCGAGCTCTCTGAAGAGAAAAAGTACGCATAATTTCAACTCAGAAAATAACAATTCCTTTAATACTTGCCACATACTGAGCAGTTTAAATGTATTAGAACACTGAAATTTCCAAACAAACCTCATTGTCCTTGTTTCACAAGAGGGAAACCCAGGTCACAAAGGTAACAAATGCCACACTTTTGAATTCAAACCCAGGTTCACCTGACTCTAAAGCTCCTGCTGAGTGGAAAGTTTGGGTGGATTCACCCAAACATGTGGGTCAGAGCACATAGGAGTAAGGAAGAGTGACCTGCTGCCAGATCAACTTAAGGAGGAAGCCTCAGCTGCACGAGGCAGGTTGTCAGGACACTAATGGGATGCAACAGTAGTGCAAAAGCGTTTCCCAAGGGCAAGCAGGGATAGGACCCTGGAGCTTCTCTAGGTCTCGTAAGTATAGCTTCTTGCAGAACAGATGTTCTGACAACTAGACAAGCTCCTGGGGAAAATGAGGCAAGAGCTTAAGCCACACTGGATACCTTTTTTTTTTTTCTGTCATTTTCCTTTTTATCGGTACTGGGGATGGAACTCACAACCGTCTGCTTGCAAGGCAGGCGCTTATGCCGCTGAGCTAAATCCCCAGCCCCCTACATACTGGATACCTTAAAGGGAAGGAACAGGACGAACTGAGCAGAAGAGCATCTAGGGAGAACATTCAAATCCCTTTCCACATTAGCCCGACAACAATGTAAACTCATTTTAACCTACCACTGGCAAGGAAGAGTCTGTGGGAAATAGAAATGAGTAAAAACCTATTTGCCTTCACCCCACCCTAACTTAGCAGAAGTACAAATATAAACAAAGGTGAGCATGGTGATACAATCTATAAGCCCAGCCCTAGGGAGGCTGAGGCAGGAAAATCATGAGGTTAAGGTCAGCCTGAACTACTTACCAAGTATAAAACCCTACAACTTAATCTTAATAAACTATAGAATGAAATGTGCTATATGCAAGTCTCAGAAAAATTTACTAACAATTTTTTTTTTTTTTTTTTTTTTTGTCTTTTTTGAGACAGGGTCTCATGCCACGCAGTTCAGGCTGGCCTTAAGCTCACTTTGTAGCCCAGGCTGGTCTCGAACTCGCAACGATCCTCCTGCCTCAGCATCCCAAGTGCTGGGATTACAGGCGTGAGCCACCATGCCCGGCTATCAATTTTGAGAAGAGGGAACATTTGGGCTGGAGTTTTTCTTCTTTTGTGGTGCTAGGGTTTGAACCCTTAGCCTCAAGCATATGAGGCAATGCTTGACTATCGCACAATATCCCAACCCTCTGTCCTGGACTTTGTAGCACAAGAATTTGATGGTGATAAAATAATAGGCACATAAACTGTGCATGATAGTACAAGTCTATAGTCCTGGCTACCTGGAGGTTGAGACAGGAGGATAAGAACCTGAGAGTTACAGGCCAATTTGGGCAACATAATCTCAAAAGAAAAAAAAAAATAGGCAATACATTCACTTTGCATGTATGAGGCCCTGGATTTAATTCCCAGTACTAGAAAAAAGAAAATCTAAGAATTACACTATAGGCTGAGGGCAATATGTAAACCCCAAAACCCAAACAAATAGAATAAACATTCCCAGTCTCACAGACAAGCAGTTCTCCCTGTCAAGACATCAAAGGAAGGCGTGCAGCACCTGTTCCACAAGTGACACCTAGAACCCTACAGACTCTCGGCCTTCAAGGATGTAACAATCACAACTCTGGCCTGAAGATTCCGAACTGGGACAATGTTTCACTGTGGAAGCACAACTGTGAATGACAAGCACTGGAAGAACAGCAGAAATTAAACCCAGTCAACCACCAGCACCTAAGCAAGCGGCCGAGCTCCAGCCTGAGGCTGTGACTCTCACCCCCAGCATGGTATGCTCCTGGTTGTATTTCCCAACTCATCTGTACCTCAGTTTCCTCATATATGAAACCAGGAATGAAAAATCATTATTATTAAAACAATTACATGAAGCTGGGTGCGGTGGTACATGCCTATAATTCCAGCACTCTGGGAAATGGAGGCAGGAATATTTCAAGTTCAAGCCTTGCCTGGGCACATTAGTGAGACCCTGTCTCAAAAATAAAAACTAAAAAGAGGGGCTGGGGATTTAGCTCAGTGGCATAAGCACCTGCCTTGCAAGCAGGCGGTCGTGAGTTCGATCCCCGGTACCGATAAAAAGGAAAAAGACAAAATAAATAAATAAATAAGTAAAAACTAAAAAGGGCTAAGGGTCGAACTCAGTGTGAGGGCTCTGGGTTCAATTCCTGGCATCAAAACCAAAAACAAAACAGAATGACAACACCATAAAGCACTTAAAATACATAGTAAGAGCCGGGGATTTAGCTCAGTGGCATAAGTGCCTGCCTGGCAAGTATGAGGTCATGAGTTTGATCCCTGGTACAAAAAAAAAACAGAACAAAAAACATAGTAAGCACTCAAACACTAGTGCTTGCTCATAGATTAGCTATTGCTTCTCACTCTTCATATCTGTAATAGCTTTTCACAAGGATGTGAAGGGTTCAGTTATGTTTTTCAATGTTATTTTTACAGTATTTTACTTTACAGTTGTTTAAAATGTACTGAATTCAGGGGCTGGGGATTTAGCTCAGCGGCATAAGCGCCTGCCTTGCAAGCAGGTAGTCGTGAGTTCGATCCTTGGTACCGATAAAAAAACGAAAAAGACAAAAAAAAAGTACTGAATTCATGGAAATGCTGCCTAATCTTCACCAGTTTCAGAAATCTAACCTTGGCCAATGCTACAATAAAGTGTTACAATTAAAATATAACGATTATAATTTTTTAAGCATAAGTGAATTACAGGGCACAGTGGTATGCCTACAATCCCAGCTACTTAAGAGGCTGAGGCAGAAGGATCACCTGAGACCAGACGTTTAAGATCAGGCTGCCTCACACATTGGAATGGGAAGGAAGAGGGTGCAGTGGGATACTAAGGGGTAGGAAGCAGAGGGGAGCTGGGCCCTGTGGGGAGGCTCTCTGCATCCACACAGACTGCACCCTACCTGCTGGTAAATTATAGAAGTTACAGTCTCCATCACATTTATAGATCCAAGTTTTGCAGGCTGCAGAACTAACCTCTTACAATCTACTGCATTGTTTTTACCTTTCACAGCTGAGATTCTGCCTGCATCTCCAGCAAAAACTTAAGAACTAATATGGTCAAGAGAGAACAAGGAGTTCAGAAGGCCCCATAGACCTGCACTCAAATCCTAGTTCCTCAGCCCTGAATGTGCCACCACCTTTTGTAAACAAAGGAGGACAGCTACCTTTCAAGTCTGAAATGAAACATATAATGTATATAAAGTGCAAATACCAGTCTCCGCATGCAGTGAGTAATCCATAAATATTATTATCCTAGTAAAAAGTTATACATGAGCAATAATTGTGCTGTCAATAATGCTTTCAAATTCATCTCAAATCAGGCATTTTTTTTTTTTTATTGAGCCAGGAAAGGATCACAAGAAATCCCTAGTTTGTTTTAAAGAGGTTGCTGTATGCCTGTACATGTGTTTAATGTTGAAAAAGTTATAATATTCATTACTGAGTATGAACCACAGGCTACTGTGATATTATTCTTATGAAATCACCACTTTTTTGGGGGTCTTTTTCCTTTTTTATTGGTACCGGGGATCATACTCATGACCACACACTTGCAAGGCAGGTGCTTATGCCGCTGAGCTAAATCCCCAGCCCCAAAATCACCACTTTTACAGAGATAAATTTCACAATTTTGGACATTTCAACACAATAAAGTATATTTTTACCAAGAGGGAACATTTTAGAGAAGGTTTTTATCTAAATGACTATAGAAAACACTAGATTTAAAAATAGCTGGGTGTGGTAGCACATGCCTGTGATCCCACCACTCAGGAGGCTGAGGAAGGAGGATTGGCATGAGTTTAGGTTACCTAAACTACATAGTAACAGTAAAAAAATGGAACCAATGCAAATAAATTACTTTATTTTTTCCAAAAAACAAAACCAAAACTACATAGTGAGATGGACTCAAAAAAGTAAATAATTAGTAAAAAGATCTGAGTTTGAACCTCCAATTTACACCACTGTCATTCTCTGAAGAGCTGTCTTAATACACAGCTCAGACTCAGGATTCTCAGGTACAAATAATCAGAATGGAGAAAAGTAGTTGAGAAAGAAAAATGAGAATTTGTATTTCTTGTTTTTCCTTCACAATGTTAGGAAAGACAATGTTAAGAGAATAGAAATGCCAGGGGCTGGGGAATACAGCTCAGTGAAAGTGCTTGGTGCACAGGTTCCTGGGCTCCAGCTCCAGCACTACTGAGAGTGAGAGACAGACAAATAGAGATACAGAAACAAAACGGGGGGCAGGAGGGCCTGAAGTTCTCTTCGGTTTTTGAGAGATTAAAAAAAAAAAGAATGAAGCAGCTTCTCAAGATTTTAGATTTGCTCAGTGTCCTGTATGCACCATCTGGTTCTAGTTACTTATTAACTTAGTCCCTGAATATACCTTAGCCTCTGCTGTATGCTGGAATGAACAATATTACAGGACTACATGATGAACTCGTGAAAAATAAAGCAATATCCAAATGCATAGCAATTACTGATAGCTTTTTTCCTCAACCTACACCTGGATTAAGAGTTTTAAGGAAAGTACTCCAAACACCTGTATCCCAAACACTGAATCTTAAACACCACATCTGAGTGGACTCTAAAGGGAAGCCAGATTAATTCCGCAGTTACAGAATGATATTAACAGCAACTGTTAAGTGGAAACTCATCTCTAAAAAAGCGATAATCATTTAGATAAACTTTCTGTGGATCACTTTCCTACATTTTTTTATTTATCAATTTTTAGAAGTATCCTGTTATAAGCAGTAGCAGTACCATCATCAGAAGAGAAAAATGAAGGGTCATAGGGCTTTAAACTGCTAACTAATGTTCTTTTAAAGATAATATCAGACATGTTCATGGAAAGTGACCACAGAGTAGGCACTTTATTTAGGACCAAATCTCACTACATTCTTGTAAGTTATATATTAATCCCACTTAATTTAAGGTAATCAAGAAGGTTAAGAAACAAGTCTGCCAACACTTTGAAAACAAGTGTCAGTGAAATTACACTCCTACTGGGCTTGGTGGTGTCTAACTCCAGCACTCAGGAGGCTGAGGCAGGAAGATCACGGTGAATTCAAGGCCAACACGGGGGACATAGTGAGTTCAAGTCCAGTCTGAACTACGCAGCAAGACAGTCTCAAAAAACAAAAAGGAAAAATAAACCAAAAGACCTCCATACTTTTCCACTGCATTATGTCATCTCACTATGTTTAACCGGAAAACAACTTTGAATATAGTAATATAAAACTGGCTACGTAAACAAGTTCAAAGGTTTTCCACCAGACTAACTCAATAGCTGAGAGAAATGTCAGAACAAAACCAAGGAAATAGTGGCTGCAAAATTACGGAGGATTTCGTTTTTAAAATCTACAGCACTTACACATTTTTAAGACACATGGAAAATAATCGATAGCTTTCTAATAAGTTCATGCATAACACCCTTTCTTCGCCACAAATGTTTTTTTCTGTTGCATGAGTTCGGAGTTTTAGACCAGTAGAAGGCCAAACAAAGTCAAACCGTAGTCTTTCAACCTACTGATTTCTTCTCAGCCTGAGAAGCTGTGGGCGATCCGAAACCTCCCGGGGTCTGAGTGTAGCTGACGCCTCCTCCGTAGCTGCTGCTGCTATAGCTTTCATAGCCACCTGATTTGAACAACAGTGTTAGTATCTGTGCTGCACCCCTAGCACATGAGAATCCAGCAGGTTCCCTGAGACTTCATGCGCCCCAACACTGGGCCTGTCTCCCTAATCTTCCCACCACCCTCCCAACAGCCCCTGCACCGCAAACGCCGGCACCTCAGCTCTCGCCCCCGCCGCCGCACGCCTTTCGACCCCCGGCTCGCTCAATCCTTCTGCGACTTTCCTCCTCCTCCCCCATCCCACCCATCATTACTATTCCACATCTTGGTGGCGAATCTCTTGGGAAAAGAAGGCCAGAAGGTTCCTGTACGGTACTCTCGCAGAACACCACAGAATCCCGTCGCCGCTACACCGTTGTATCCACTTTTCTCTGGCGCCACAAACTCCTTCCCGCGAAGCGCGGAGCCAGTCAGCGCACGCTTCCCGCTTCAGCCAATCTACGCTCACGAATCCTACGTATTTTGTCTGCCTTCTCCGGCCAAATTTCTGAGAATGCGCATGCCCCGCGTGAAACCGGAAGCCTTTGCGCCATCTTTACTAAGGGCATAACCCGAAAAGCAAGCAAAAAAGTCCAGACTGGGAGTATTGCTAGGACCGTAGCTCAAGAAAACAACCAATCAAAACAATCCTCCCGCAGGACCTAAGCGCTCACTTAAGACGTGTAAGCGACTCCCAACGTAATTTCCTTTGTTTACCACCATCTTTGTCCCTCTATAGTGTCACTAGTCAAAAAAAGATGACCTTAAAGTAGTGTGGTAGAGTTCTTGCTTTGACGTTGCGGTACGAGCGTCCTAGCACCTCGTGAGATTGCTTTTTTTGTTGTTCCATAAAGAGTCATATTCTCTGCTGCGGAGTGCGTGCGAGAGGCCCAAGGTTCAATTCCCAGCGCTGCAATAATGGGAAATCGAATTCATTTTCTGTAACACCTCCTGCTGGTCCTCTTACCTACGGCGACCTTTTTAAAAATACTGGAGAATGGGGGCTAGGGATTTAGCTCAGGGGCATAAATGCCTGCCTGGCAAGCGCGAGGTGGTGAGTTCAATCCCTGGTACAAATATATATATATATATATATATATGGATGTGAACCCTCTTGACGATACTTCTGATACTATCCCAGGTCAGGAACCCTAGTCACTTCGGATTTTGTTGTATTTTGTTGATAGTGGGGCTCAAACTCAGGGGTCTTCTACCACAGAGCGATATTCCTAGCCTCCCGCCTTTTTTGTACTGGGGATTGAACTCATGATCTCCTGATTGCCAGCTAGGTGCTGAGCTCAATCCCCGGCCCCCCACCCCCACCCCCGTTCTTATTTGAGACAAGGTTTTGAAAATTTGCCCAGCCAGGGTTCGAATTTGAAATCCGCCAGTCTCAGGCCTCAGGGTGCTAGGAGTACAGGGGTGGGCCACACACCCAACCTGCAATGTTGTATTCAGAATAATTGAAATAGGTGTATAGGTGCCCTCTCGTAGTTCCAGTAGTTGGGAGGCTGAGACAGCAGGATTATTACAAGCTGCAACCAGGCTGGGTTACCTAGTGAATTCAGGGCCATTCTGAGGTACAAAGCAAGACCATTCTTCTAAAAAAGTATAACATTGCTTTTTTTTTTGGTCTTTTTCCTTTTTATCGGTATCAGGGATCAAACTAACGACTGCCTGGTTTGCAAGGCAGGCGCTTATGCCGCTGAGCTAAATCCCCAGCCTCTTAACATTGCTTTTAATACCACTTGGTAGGCAGATTTTTGGTCAATTAATTTATTAAAAATCTTTGTTGGAGCTGGGGATTTAGCTCAACGGCATAAGCACCTGCCTTGCAAGCAGGCAGTCGTGAGTTCGATCCCCGGTACCGATTTAAAAAAAAAAAAAATCTTTGTTGATCGCTGCTTTGTTCCAGGACCTGAGATGCAATAGTAAATAGGATAGACATGGTCCGTGGGCTATTGGGCAGGCACTATTAAGCATTTTACTTCTACGAACTCAGTCTTGTGTGCCATGCAGGTATTGTTCTTACCATTTTACAGAGGAGATAGTTGAGCCTCAGAGAGGCTAAATCTCTGAGTCTGTATTTAAATGCAGTTATGCTGATTACATCAACTAGTGTAGTTACTGTAACTTCTAGTACTCCTAGAATGGGGTCACAAACTCAGATGAGAACTAGACTTTGGGTAAGAAAATTGAAAATACAGTGAGTTGAATAAAAGCAGAGAAAAGTAAATTTTTTTCTCCATGGTAAGACAACCACATATGTGATGTGATAGAAAATACACTGATTTGGAAAGAGAATGAGTTTATAAAAAAAAAAGAAAGAAAATACAGTGAGGCTGGGCGTGGTGGCATTGGAGGTGGTGCATGCCTCTAATGCCAGGACTCAGGAGGCAGAGGCAGGAGGATTGTGGTGAATTTGAGACCAGCCTGGACTATAAAGTGAGCTCAAGGGCACCCTGAACTGCATAGCAAGATCCTGTATCAAAAAAACAAAAACAAAAAAACACCAAAAAAAAAAAGCCTAAAGCAGAACCTTAAATAGTAACAACGAATGTGATTCTAGTGTTACTAGAACATCTAAAATGTTACTTTATTGATTGTACTGGGCTATATTCCCAATACTGTAATTTATTTCTTTTAACAGATGCCAGAAGTCTTTTTTTTGTAAAAATTTCTTAATTATAGTTGCTAATAAGTAAAACTTTTTTTTTTTTTAATCAGTACCGGGGATCGAACTTACGACCCTCTGCTTGCATGGCAGGTGCTTATGCTGCTGAGCTAAATCCCCAGCCCCAAATTTTAATAGCTTAAGTATTATGTAGGACAAAGGCAATAGCCACATGTTACTTGTGTGCCACTTGTCTCATATTAATTCTGGAATTCTTTGTATTTTAAGGTGGAGCTCTCGATATTACCTAGGCTGTCATTGGACCCTAGTTTCAAGGGATCTTCCTGCCTTAACCTCCTGGGTTAAGGAACTTGATTCTGAAATCCTATAAACCCCCAAATCACTGAGAAATAAATAAGATATAGGCAAAGGCCAAAGCTTGAGACACACCAAGGCAACATTATCATTAAGCCTAGGACCTTTGAATCATACACAGGATGCCATGTAAGGGCATGTTTGTAATGTGTATGATAAAATGTTTGAGATTAAGACAGCAGGGTGGGTGTGGTGGTGAAAGACTGTAATCCCCATATTCTGGAAGGCTGAGACATGAAAACGGCAAGTTTAAGCCAAGCCTGGGCAATTTAGCAAGACTCTGTCTGAAAATTAAAAGAAAAAATAAGTCAATCCTATTACAGGGCTCTCCAGATTCAGTGTGGCTCTTGCTGATTGGTCTTTGATCCTGAGATTCCGCTGTGGCTCTTTGTGGAATCACTCTTTGAGACCTGACGGCAGCAGGGGGCGCTCTTGATACTTAGGTGACAAAACTTTGGAAAATAGGATTTCTCAGTGATGCAATCACATCCTTGGCAATATGACAAGGACTCCTTGGGCCACAAGGTTATCACGCTTCTCTGAAACTTTTCTTCAGGAGGCTGTGACCTTGGATGGCTGAGTTCAGCTTTAGAGTCCGCAGGTGTGTGCATGGGCCCCTGTGTGTGTGTGTGTGTGTGTGTGTGTGTGTGTGTGTGTGTGTGTGTGTGTATCCTACCTAGATCTCAATAGCTTCCTCCTGTTTCTCTCTTCTCTCCCTGCTTCTCCCTCTCCTCCTCCTCACTCCCTCTCCTTCTTTCTTCATCTCTCCATCTCTCCCGGTCTCCCGCTCCACATCCGTGAAGCACACCTGATTCCAATCCACACTCATTCTCGGTCTCCCACAGTAACATCCTGAATAAAGCTTTCCTTGGTTTGTTTAAAAAAAAAAAAAGAAAGAAAGAAAGAAAGAAAGAAAGAAAGAAAGCCAGCCTGCTAGTCCTTGCCTGTAATCTCAGCACTGGAGAGAAGCTTGGGTAGGTTTGCCATGAGTTCAACACCAGCTTGGGCTACATAATGAGATCAAGGCCAGAGTGAATTACATAAGGCCTTGTCTCAAAAAAAAAAAAAAAAAAAGTTTTAAATATAAGAACAGAGACAGAGAGGCTGAGATGTAGCTCCGTGGAGAGGCCCTGGGTTAAACCCCAGAAGAGCAAGATAAAAAGTATTCTGGAAAGCTTGAAAAGATGAAAGTTAAAAAAAAAAAAAAAAACATGAAAGTTCACATTAATATACTTTATCTGGGGATTAACTAGTCATAAATTCAACTGAAAAGAGCATAACATTTAAAATTAAAACAATCAAAATGTTTTAAATATAACACAAAGTGAGAAACATCAAGAATTTTGGGGGCTGGGGATTTAGCTCAGCGGCATAAGTGCCTGCCTTGCAAGCAGGCAGTCGTGAGTTCGATCCCTGGTACCGATAAAAAGGAAAAAGACAAAAAAAAAAAAAAAAAAAAGAATTTTGGACATACTTGCTAGAGCTTCTTGATAAACTGAATAGAGGACTCAGTTCTTAGTGGTAAAATAATTGGTACGTACTTTGTGCATGAGATAGTAAACTCATCTGTTGAAGTTCAGTTGTGTTGAGTTGAGTTATAAGAAGCGGAAATCGTCCATTTGTCCCTCCTGGTGGACACACACCTGGAGGCTTAGAAACTGCTGGAAAATCTGTTCCTCAGAGAGAGGACTACTATCTAGAATATAAAAAGAACTCTAAGGCGTCAGACTTCTCAAATTTAAAGACCCAGTCCAAAAATGGGCATTTGAGGGGCCAAGGATATAGCTCAGTAGCACAAGCACCTGCCTGGCAAGTCCAAGGTCCTGAGTTAATTTCCGGCACCAAAAACAGAACAAAACAAAATAAAATAGAAAATGGGTATCTGAAATGAACAGACATTTCTCAGATGAAGACGTAGAAACAAAATAAATATATGAAAACATGTTCAACATCACTGGTTGTTCAAAAGATGCAAATTAAAACAACACTGAGATTCCTTCTCACTCCAGAAAGAATGGCTATTACCAAGAAATCAACCAATAACAAATTCAGGAGAGGCTGTAGGGGAAAAGGAACCTTCTCCACTGTTGGGAGGGAGACTGGTGCAACTACTGTGGAAGTCAACATGGAGATTCTTCAAAAAACCAATACTAGAGGTTCTATTTTATCCAGCTATTCTCCTTGGTATCTTCCTGAAAGAATTAAAAGCATCATAACATTGTGATGTATGTGCACCCATGTTTATAGTAGTAAAGTTTGTAATAGATAAGTCTTGGAAACATTACAAATGCCCATCAACTGATGAATAGATTAAAAAAGAGGTAGTTTTTTTTTAATGGGTACTGGGGATTGAACTCATGACTGCCTGCTTGCATGGCAGGTGCTTATGCCGCTGAGCTAAATCCCCAGCCCCCAAAGAGGTAGGTTTTTTAAAAAATATACAATGAGGGCTGGGGGTTTAGCTCAGCGGCATAAGCACCTGCCTTGCAAGCAGGCGGTCGTGAGTTCGATCCCCGGTA